AAGAAAATTGTTGCTTTTTTCCACTTTGGCATTTCGAATAGTGTGTGTAATCGTCATCACGCCCACACAAACACACACACACATGTCCAGATACCTTTTGTAGTGTTGGCCAATTAGACTTGGTGTTTCCATTAAGGATTGTTGGGTTTCATGAGAAGCGCATGAATGGACATGGGATAAAGAGAGAGAGAGGGAGAGCAAGTGTGAGTGAGAGGTAATTACAATTAAAGCTCTGTGCGTGAGTGTGTGGGCAACGGGCAGAGATAATGTCCCCGGGCATGTCAGAAATTGTTTAATGGACGCTTTTGCTTTTTATTGTCAAGCGGGCATAATGGGAAAATGTTATTGTGAGGAATCTACAAAGCACACCACTCGCATTACTCTGTACTCGCTGGGTGAAATGCAAAGTGGACTACCAGAAGACCCTTACAGCAGCCGATGCTTAATATTCTGTGGCGAATGCCCAAATAATAAGCAAGAAATATAAACTTCAAAGCAAATAAGCTTCATCTAATTATTGTCATAATTAGTGGACCTTTTCTTGGGACGCTTGTCCAAAATGAAAGTTCCATTAGCTATATGTGGCATACCTCAAGAATAGTCCCCAGAAGGTCAAAGCACTTAAGCTTTAATGCCACGCACAATATTTATTTTGAGTAAGAGGAAAGCCAAATGAAAACAGCAACAAAATGGTTCATTGCATGCGCCCAAAAAGATCCCAGAGTAGCAGACTAAAGAATTAGGTTAATCTATGACAAAGACTTGATACACTTAAAAATTTTCCACAACAATAAAATAATAATAGTGAAATAAAATAAATAAATATATAAAAAACCGAAAAAAAATAATTAAAATTTAGTTTGTACTTTTCTATTTTTAAACTTAACGGCAAAGAGGTTGAAGAGTATAGATATGTTGGTCATTCTTATTAATACAACAACACAATCACTGCTTTGCTCGTTCCTACTGCATTACAAAATTTCTTAAAAATTTGCTATACCCAAGGTGAGAGTATAACCACAACAGCAACAGTAGCAGGCACACAACAAAAAGAAGAAGAAGAAGAAAAATAAAGCTAAAGGCAGGTCCGGGCTTGGGCGATAATAAAATTTGCTTGCGGCAGGACATAAGCTGCTCAACAGGCGAGGACAGAGGCTGTTGCTAACAACAGCCGGGCGTAGTGGGCCTGGAGTAGTGGGCTGGCAGTTAAGCTGGGCGTGGCTATCGAATCCCTGGCCACAAAGCTGATTAAACTGTTGGATTTTGCATACCGTTGAGCTGGAATAATACAACATTACGGCCAATTAGCTAAGGATACAAATCGAATTGAGACGTATCGACGTAGTCAAAGAGCTCAATTGTTATGGGCTGTCCTGTACCCTGGCAAGTCCTGTCAGGCGTTCGCTTAACGGGTATTTCAATTGACATTTCTCATTTGTTTTTCTTGTGTTTTATTTTGCATTTTAATTGAATTTTTATAGCGCCAGGGGACGCGGTCTGCTTTTGACACTTTCGAGTTGTCGATTGTAAAGGAGTTCAACTTTTAATTACGCCTCGGCAAATTAAATAATGAAATTTTCTGCACAATCAGCGAGAAGTAAACATAAAACTTTATTAGAAGTGGAAATTTTAATTATGCAGCACGCAGGAATTATCATTAAAACCTGCAAATATTTGTGATATAATTGACATGAATAAAATTAATTAAAAAGCTGGACATTGAATTTTAAGTTTAACAAATGAATTAAAAATGTTAATATTATTGTTATTAATAAAGACCTTAAATTAAAATCAAATTCTATTCTTTTTTCTCATTTTTCTATTATTATTTTAATTAATTTTAAAATTTCAATTGTTATATTCTTTAGTTTTTAATTTAATTATTAAATTTTTAAATAAAAACATTTAGTTATTGCCATTAACACGAACATTTTAAATCAAACAATATTTAATATTATTTTTGCTTTTGACTGAATATTTCATGTTTTAATTTATATTAAAGGCTATTTAAACATTTAAGTTTTTCATTTTTATTTTTATTTTTTTATTTTTGAGTGTATTTTTTCTTATTATAAATATACATTAAATATACATTTTAAATTAATTTTATGTTTTATAATATATATTTGTATATTGGCATCAAAATATTAATCGAAAATTCAATAATATTTTGTAAATAAAAATATTAACAAACACATAAGTGCATAAACTTTTCCCTCTCTTTATAATTTAATTTATAATATTTTAGCCCAGCTCGACAGTTATTTGTTCTTTTACGATTCGCCATTTTCTCAATGCTTCTAAGAATAATTTTTGCTTGAAAGCAACTTTTCAGACAGCAAATATTTTTATTTCCTTTATCTTCAGTCATAAATTTTAAATATTCCAAACAGCAATGTCTTTACCTGCCACGCTGTGCCTTTCCGTTTCTCTATAGTATACTCCTCTAGTTATGCACAAAAATTAGACAAAGTAGCGAGGCAAACAATTTTGTCAGCGCACATTTTTGGGGTCGGGTAAAGCTGCGCGCTTCATTTGCTGCGACAAGAACATTTTTACGATAGCCGAGGAGAACAGTAAAATATGCGACACCTGCCACGCCTCTACGCCCTTGTTTAGTTTGGGCTTGAGACTCTAGCTGTGACGCGGCACTATTTCATGGCAGACAAAAAAAAAAAAAAAGAAAACGAAACTGAAGTGTTTTCTGGAATTTGAGAGCTTGAATTTTGAAATTAAATTTTTGCTGCATGCTTTGGGGTGCTCGTGAGTTGCTGCCATGAATTGGCAGTTTTATGTGAAAAGAGACAGAGACAGAGACAGAGAGAGAGAGAGAGAGAGTCAGAAAGGAAGTGCGTCAGAGGTAGACTGAACACATAGTTGTTGCTATTGTTGTCGTTGTTTGTTTGCTATCGCAATCTGCGCAACTCACATGAGCAAATATACACAAAGGGCATCCCGCTCGGGAATATGCAACAGCGTTGTGTACATTTTTCGCATTGTATTACAACGATTTATGCTACTCGCATGCATATTTAAGATTAAACAGCAATCGTTTATGCCACTGCCAAACATTTTCATGCATTCACAAATGGCCACAATTTTCATTGAGTGCAAAGTCAATAAGAGAAAATGTTCTCGATTGCTTTTACATATATTTTTCATTTTTGTTTTGTTTTGTTTTTTTTTTTTTTTCGGCTGTTCGATTATGCTGAGTGAATATTAATTTCGCCTAAACGAGCTTCCCAAGCACAATAAAAATTTACATTTGAGGCTTGCGGAAAACCTTTTGATAAATGGTTGGAAAATTGTTGATAAAATAATTCGCTCTCACAAATTATTATTGAAATTACTTTCAACGGGAATCTGAGCTTGTTTTGTATTGCAATTTTTAGACTTTATTTGACTTGATTTATTTTGAATTTGAATGATGCTCTAGCTAGCAAGCTAGATATTTAGATTATTTATTTAATTTTTTTTTTTTTAAATATATTTTTGCTTTTCGCTTATTGCCCATTAGTTGTCATTGAGAAATTCTCATTAATTTCTCTCAGTTGCTAATTAGGCGTTATTATGAGAAAATCCTTAAAGCTCATCATATAAATAAAAGAGCTGCAGGATATCATTCAGTTGATGTAGCAAACACCTGCAAGGCGTTGTTTCTAGTGCTAATATGGGATAAGATTTGACTGCTAAGCAGGCAGCACACACAGACACACACACACACGTACTCACACACACTTGAGTGCACATAAGTAGTTGTCAATTTCTGTTTGAGATTTACGGCGTTTGCACTGCGGACGTTTGCGCCCCTGGCAAACACATACAACGGCACATCCTGTTGCCGCGCGCCCCTCTATGCAGTCGTTGGTTTATTAAAAGCCAAATGTATTGTCTCGGAGCAGCAGGAAACAACACGCACACCGACCGTCAGACACTCAGGCAGAAGGCGCTCTCCGTCTTTTTCCTTAGCTGCTTGGTGTTATCCTTTCGCTTGAAGCGCCATTTGCTCGACAAACTGTGCTTGGTCTTGTGCCCACTGTCCTCTCCGCCTCCCGCTGTGAATGCGTGCGTGTGTGTATTGAAAGCTAAATATTATGAGTTCAGCTTAGCTTTTGCAGCACGCGCCGCCTAGCACATGTGTTGAGTCTACTTTTTCGCCTGAGGTGTGAGTAAAAAGTAAGATATGACAGACCTTGGGAGTGCTTATGTTATTTGCTGGCCGGTGGCTAAGTAGGATTAGCTCTGAACTGAAGATGAGAACAATAACTAGTATGCATTGGCATAAATAAAGTCTAGCTGAACACTTAACGCAATTTATTCGCATGGGACAAGGTAAGCTCTAAGATAAACTGTCCCAAACACAAACTTGTCTTAAAGAAAATATTTTGTATGCGAAAGTTTTTCACAAAGTTTAGCCAAAACAATTCCTTGGCAAGAGTGAGAGCTTCATAAGCTTTATGAAATACTGTAACCCGTTTTCAATTATAAAGTTATAGCACGGCTATGCAGCCGAGAATTCAGCTCTGGAAAGTAGTAAAAGAAATGCCAGATGGCGGAACTCTGAGTGAAAGGATTTTGCCGTCCCACTTCCTTCTCAGCAATATGCTAAAAATAGCAGTGAGCAACAGTTTGGCAGCTCTGTAAGTGGCTGGCATTAAATAAATATGCGGAATTGTGCGTTAATGTGTTGCGCTCGAGATGGTGATGAATGGCGCACGAAAGTATGCAACAAATAAAGCAATAAATTTGCCAGAGCTGCCATCTTGAGGCGCAGGCTTTCGCAGAGCTGTCAGGGCAGTCCGTCAGGCAGGAAAAGCGCCAAACATCGACACATTTCAAAATTAATTTACTGTAAATAATTGCGGCCATTAAGCGAGCTCAAAGCGAGTCCGCAGCGCGACTCCTGCACCGACTCCTGCACCGTCAGCTAATTGAAATGTCTTTCGTCTTGAATGCAAGCAAATTTTTCACTCGGCACCAAATTCTTTTCCATTTTGCAGGCCGTTCAGCCACGCGATTTCGCTGTGAATGCCGCGGAGGATGTGGGCAACGTGTCGCCCTGTGAGATGGAGACCATAATAAATCAACTCTTGAATCCCAGTCCGGAGTATCAGCTACACGTAAGCCACCTAAAGGATTACCTTGCTCTTCCCCTATGCAGTCAAGGCATGGAGCAGCTGTGCGGGCTTTGAGCATTTGAGACTCAATCTTCTTAACATCTCTTTATTTTCGTTCTCTTGTCTCTTCAATGTGTTTCTGGAGTTATTTTCTCCTTGGCATTTCTTTCCTTCCTCTTACTCCTTATTCGAGAAGTATCCTTCAATCTCCCTATTTTTTTGTTTCCCCCTCTATAAACCATATACTTCTTCCCTATTATCGCTATCTATCTCTCTTTCTTTCTGTCTCTAATCTCGTCCCTACTACATTCGACTGCTTCCTTCTTCTTTCACCTTGATTCATTCTTACTAATCTCCGTCTTACACATTCTCCTGTATTGATTCTCTCATTTAACACTTTCTGACAGGCTTCCGCCTTGCGCAACCAGCTTAAGAATCTATTGCGGGAGCGCGAGGAGCAGCAGCAACAGGGCGACTATGGCGACTACTTGGACGAGGACAAGCGTTCCGTGGCTGCGTTGGCCGCACAGGGACTGCTGAATGCACCCAAGCGCAGTCTGGCCACGTTGGCCAAGAACGGGCAGCTGCCGACGGCCGAGCCCGGCGACGATTATGCCGATGCCGAGTCTGGGGAGCCAAGCGAGCAGAAGCGGTACATTGGCTCGCTTGCGCGTGCCGGCGGACTGATGAGCTTTGGCAAGCGCAATGTGGGCACCCTGGCGCGTGACTTCCAGTTGCCCAACGGCAAGCGCAACATTGCCACCATGGCCCGGCTGCAGAGCGCGCCCAGCACCCATCGGGAGCAGCCTAAGCGGAATGTCGCCGCAGTGGCACGCTACAATTCGCAGCAGCATCAGAATCAGCGCAACAGCGGCGAGAAGCGCAATCTGGGCGCCCTGAAGTCATCGCCAGTTCATGGCGTGCAGCAGAAGCGCGAGGACGAGGAGATGCTTCTGCCCGCCGCCGCCGCCGCCGCTCCGGACTATGCCGACCCCATGCAAAGCTATTGGTGGTATCCCAGCTATGCTGGCTATGCCGATCTCGATTGGAATGACTATCGACGCGCCGAGAAGCGCTTCCTTGGTAAGTAGAGTACGCATAGGATTGATGCTTCTCTAGAAATTGGTGAACTTGCAGAAGATAAAACTGAGTCTGAGAAATGTCCGTTCAAAATAAAGTATTACTCACCTGTAACATGACTCTTACAGCAGCTTGTGTGTGGATAAATATATCAGGGGGATCAGCTTTCGAGAGATTATACATTTCTCACTATTTTATTTACTTTTTTTTATTAAAATTATTTTATTTAATTGATTAATTATTTTAATTGTTTATTTATTGATTAAAAATTATTTTTATTATTTTATACACATTTCTAATTTTTTTATTTTAAATAAATATTTTTGTATTTAAAATAAAATTTATTTATTCATTAATTAATTGACTTAAAAAAAAATAATTTTTTAATTTAATCATTTTTATTATTAATTTATTTATTGATTTACTTATTGTTTTTATTTATTTAACTAACTAATATTTTTGGTTCACTCGCTTCAATTATTTAGTTTTTGAGTTTGAGCCAAAACAATATTTATCCGCAAAACACAACAAACAAAGCATATTCTTCAAATATCAGGCAAGCAGTGGGGAGCCTTTCTCTTACAGAATATCACGTTAGTCTGCATTGTATATAATTACTCAAGATCTACCTGCAAGGTTATCAAGTCGAAGCTGCGGCCTGCCGTAGATTGCTCTCCCCCATTCCCCAGTTCATTCACGAGCACAACTGCACCTAGTTAGTGGCTATGCAGTACTTCTCGAGCACCGTTTGTAAATATATATATATATATGTATATACCAATATATGCTTATGCGATCGCTACCAAAGACACTTCCAAGGATCCCGAATTGTTTGGCATTGAGCATGGCAATGAGGCAACCGATGCCGAGGCCAATGCCGCTGCCCTTGCTGAGGAGCTGGAGGAGGATCAACAGCAGCAGCAGCAGCAGCAGCCATTGCAGGCAATGCCGCAGAAGCGTCACATTGGCGCCGTCTATCGTTCCGGCTTTCTGCCCAGTTACCGTTATTTGCGCAGCCCCACCGGCAACACCGGCGGCGGCTTTGGCGGTGCGGGCGGTCGCTTTAGTCGCTCGGGACGTGCCAGGCAACTTGTATGAGTAAATGAAGATGGTTCGATGTGTTTAGCTTTTTAATTTCCATTTCCGATTGTTTCCTCAATTTTATTTGTACTCGACTTCTTTCTGTCTCTTATGCCTGCCTCTGTCTCTATAACTACAGATTGTGCACTTAGATATTGTAGTAGCGACGATCGTTTTGTCTATTTCCCTTAGCCTAGCTGATCTATGCAGTAGCTTAGCTCAAAATTGCCTAAATGACATTTTTAGTTAAGTCTATGTTAGATGGGCTAATGCTTTAATCTGAAATATGTTGAGTTCGTCGTTTGGACATCAACTTTCCAGTAGTGACTGTATGAAGCATGAAGAGTCGATATAGATTATATAGATACATATATGTTGGTGCTGTTAGAGTAAACAATTTGACATTTCCCTAAATATCAAAAGTTAGGCAGTATTTCATAATCTAAAAACTTTACCTAGAACGGTTTTAGTGATGGCAAGATTAATCATAAGACAGATTATTTTGGTACAATTGGTGTTTTATGTATATATAATCGATTATTCCATCGATTATTCGTTTACATAGAGTGCTGATATATATTAATATATATTTATCCATTATATCCCATTGATATTTTATTGTCAACAATTTAGAGCTTTATAACTATAAAAGGGTTTCTGAGACGCATATTGCAAAAGACTAGCATACTGATTCGTGAATACATATATAGACCTAATCAACTCGATATAAAAATCGAATATAAATTAAGGAAGTCTTAGTTAATTTCACGTAAACTTAAATAGTGTCACATGGTCTAGTAGCATCTATCCATTGAAGGCGAATGTAACCTTATTTGATTGAAAGATATCCAAGCTTAGACTAACGTGACTTGGCACGGTTATGCCTTATGTAATCCAAAAGGAATTGGAGTCTGAGTGTCAAAAGTTCTGAAAGCAGTCCTCGCAGCACTTTTACTTACGAATGATTTCCTTAATATTCGCGCAGCTCAGCAACAGCTTTTCGAGTTCATGCAGTTGCCAATTTTTCTTTCTATTGTGTATTTAAATTGTATTGTAGAAATTCGATTCATGTTCATGTTTCCGTTAACACATTCGAAACACAATTTCTGTTGATTTTCAAACCGTTTGTCCAATTGACTGCCAACCGGAAATTCAATTTTCCGTATGTTTGGCAAATCTGCTCACATATTTTTGCCCAGCTCTGCACTCCGGCCATACCCTATAACATTGCGTGTTACGGATAATCGTCTAATTTCCGGCATTTTGTTTGCCTGCCACCAAGGCCGTGTGCCGTGTGCCGTGTGACTGCCTCCCGTTCTTCTGCTTCTTCCCACGGCATTCGCTTTTACTGCAGTTTATTTGCTGTTCAGAACTTTCCGCTTGCTTTATTTCAATTGCCACGGATTTGGCATTTAAATTCGATAATTCAAAAAGTTTTTTTTAAGAGTTTTTGTTTTTGTTTGGCCACGTTAGAAATTAAGAAGGAAGTAGTCAAACTGTTCCCGAGAACAATTTAGCACTTAATCTGTAGCATACTTTTGAGCGAAAGAGGGAAATCTGAAATAAAAAGTGTTGCCTACTTTTGAGCTGTTGAGAAAAGAATTTTTGTATGGAAAATTAATTAAAACGTATATATTTGTTTCTGAAAATTCTGTGTAATCTGCTACATATAACCAAATTTATTTAAATCTGTATGTTTTCATTTAATTTTTGGAGAGATGTTAAGTTGATTGCATTTAAGTGCTTCAAGCTTTTTTTTTAGCGCATTGGCATGTTTCTAAAGAGTCAACCTATTGGCATGTTCTGACTTGGTCTATGTTCACACTGTCTTGATTTATTTGCCTTAGTTTAATTTAGTGCTCTTGCAGTAATCTACGTGTAGGCTGGTTGCAGTACAACGTATTGTTGCATGTGTTCCGGTACAACACAGCGATCGAGAATTTATAATGCATACATTGTTATTGTACAGCTGTTGAATTATTCACTAAGTTTGAAAGCTAGAGAACTAATGTATGGGTGCGTGTGTGTTGTTTTCCTTTCTCGTTTCCTTTTGGAACTGCAGGTCGAGTACTACCCCCAACACGAGCGACTGCGTCAACCAATCGCAGCCGTTTGTAAACGTTGTTTCCTACCAAATCGACCGATGATGAACTGGAGCGGTGCTGGCATACGCGGTAGTCTGTCCAAATTCTATGTGGATCCCATCATCGAGACGGCCAGATCATCGGCAGCAAACGCTGCACGCATACGCAGCATTTCCACCAATTCGCTGCCAAGTGGCCCAGGCAAGAGCCGGACCTATCCCTTCCATTCGTGGGGCACACCGCCACGTATTACAGCATTGCAACGGGGCGTCTATCGACGCAACGGTGAGTCCATGGACAATTACGAATACTAAACTCTATATAGATATCACGACAATATAATCCCAAAAAAAACAATAAAAATAACAAAACCAATATCGTATACAGAATTATACATATACATATATATAGATATTTATATATATAAATGTGTTATGCAGTATTTTCGATGTAGTAGTTCTTTAACACCGTCACACACACACCTGCAGCACACGCAGCTACGCAGCGCAAATGTATCTGTATCTCAAAGTTTGCCGTAGTTCGGTGCCACTCGAATACGTATCTGTATCAATATATATATATATAAATATATATATAAATCAAATAATTTATTTATCTATGTATAAATGAGGTAACTGATGCCAGTGCAAAGCATGGAAACGTTTAATATCACAACTAAATCATATCGTCTTGAAACTATCGATTATCTCTGAACAAAAGAAAAAACAACAAACAAAACGAAAAAAGAAAAACAATAAAAAATTTAGTGCCAATGCCGTACCTTAGCAGGAAGTGTTGAATTTTAAAGAACCCCCGAAACAAATAAGCACAGCTTCTACTATTTTTTGCTAGATCCCACACCTTAAACTCCCTACATATTGTATTACTTCTTATATGTGTATTCATATATAAATATATGACAATAATTATTGATAATAAAGTAAAGGAAATTCCTACCCAGTTAGTGCAATGTTCTAGCCTAAGTTGTGGCACGATATATATATATTCATATATACTCTTACCTATATGAATCAAGGTATTATTAGTACTCGTATACACCGATGGAAGTTTACTGCGTCAAGGACAATAATTAAGCAAAATCCGACAATAAATGAAAGGACAATAAAAATGCGAACAAACTAAATATTGAAATATATTAAATATTGTATTCAATCATTTTTAAATGTTTATTTGAATACTACCCAAAGAGAAATTGATAATAAAAAGAGATACCCCAAATAAACATAAACATATTCAATGTGCGTAATTATAAGTCTGATGTTGTCAATAATTAACTTACATATTCATTTCCAACTTAAAGTATTCGAAATGCAACAACAACAAAATATATTTAAATATATTAAAATATATACTTATACGACGATTATACATGTATACAGATTTACTTCGATTATCTATGTATGTACTTATCTCGACGAATTGCTCAAGGCGAATAGAGGCGCTGTAAAGATAACAATACTTAACAATATGTTATATCTCTATACAGAACTATTTAATTAAATATACGAAACACTTACTTCAAACGAATAACTACACAAATCCAAAATACTTTCCAAAATATATATACATAAATACTTATTAACGGTTTGCTCCTAACCCAATGAAAAGAGAATTGGTTTTACTTGGCCAGCTGGGGGAAATAATGGGGCTTGATTACAAATGATCTTGTCAATGTATTTAATAATATATTGTTATTTATACACATACATATAGTATAATACATATATTATATTTAATTTTAATTTCGTTTTTCTTTTGTTAGAAATGTTGTGTTATTTTGTTAGACAAATTATATAACTTTTATTATATTATCATTGCATTCATTTTTTATTTCGCCGGCGGGATAAAGTATGAATCGTAATTCGCTTTATGAAATGATTTGCAACTTTTCTTTTAATATATTGATGAAATATACTATATACATTAGGTAATTAAGTAAATTAATTAAAACGTGTTTCATTTACTTATTATACATTATTTAAGTGTTGTTTTCATTAACTTTGCATTAACTTTATTGATTTTGTAATTTCTCAAGTCTTGTTCTGAAACAATAATCCCTCCCGGCAACGAATTCTTTCTTCAATATATAAATAAAATTGCATAATCAACAGAATGCTAAAATGGAAAGCTTACAATACATATGGATATTCCCCATAATGATACAAACTTCATCACTATTTATTTTACATTTATACAATATTTTCTAAAATTTTTAATAATTTTTTATATTAATTATAATTAAATTCAATAAAGTCTAAAGTGAAGGATATTATAAATGTTTCAAGCTGTTTATACCTTACCTTTTGTCCTGCATTTACATTAGGTTTTTATGCCACCAGTCCAAGCTCAAATAAAACCACACTTGACTTTGTTTATATTTTAAATTTATATTTTCTTTATACATAATATCGCTTTTCGTATCTTAAGTTACAAAATAAATACGTACTTAATCAAAGTGGAAACACGTCGCGTTTTCTGATAGCCGTGTAATTTCTATGCAGTTGAATATATTATTAAGCTCTAATGCTATAGCTAAGATGTTGATTTGCATGCGGCTGGAATAAATAGGTAAGTGTCTAAGATTTACATGTGCCTCTGCTGATAATTGTAATCAAGTTGAAATATTCTACAACTACGGTAACTCAAGCATCGATCGGTGCTGGGTGCGGAGCGCCAGCTTAGTTAATCGACTCACGACCAGTACTTGGCCGTCTGCCCCTGGGCGGGCAGTGGATGGTTGTAGGCGGCAGCCACATTGCCGTGCACTGCTGCGGCCGCATAATCAGTCAACTGGTGCTGGGCGACCGCATGGTGGGCAGCCGCCGCGTTGTAATTGGCCGCCGCCACCGCCGACTGGTTGAGATGGTAGGCAGCCTGCGACCAGTTGGAGGGCGACTCCAGTTTCGCATAATTATCGCTGAGGTGCAGCGATGGCGAGATCTTGGATACACTATCCGCGGTTAGTTTCGAGAAGTCGTCAATGGTCAGCTTGGAGTAGTCTACAATGGAGAAGAATGGGCATTCGGTTAGCAGAGAATTCAATGTGAGGGAGGAAGCGACGGTTTAAAGAATCTAGAATGCGAAGGAAGGGAACAATTAAAGAGAAAGCTAGTGCAATGAAAATATGAAAACATGAAGATAATATACGAAAACGGGGCGTGGAGAAAAGATGCAAAAGCACGTAGGGATTTCAGTAATAGAAGGAAATCTATAGAGTTATTGGGATAAGATGAAGAGAACCCTAATGAAGGAAACAAAGCATCAAATGAAATGAGTATAGAATGATGTAATGGAATTTTTAAAATATGGGATACAGGATATTGAAATTTTTAATGCAGGCGCCGAAAATGTTGAGCAAGAGATTCACAGAAAATAAAAGAGAGCCTAATAAAAGGTGGCAAGGGTTAGTGTATGAAAAGTGATCTACATTAAATGAATGATAAAAATAGACTTGAACAAAATTGAAAATAAATAAGTGGCTAAATAATATTTAAAATAAAAAATCCAAAAAATAATATATGATTTAATATTTTTTTGCTTTGCTTGATACATATGTCTATAAATGAAGTAAGTGATCCAGCTACAAAATCAGTTAACTTTTTGCTAAAGACTACATCAAGATTAGATCTGCAGCCAACATTGTAAGGTCAAGCTCCATATAGATAGAATAATAGAGATGTAAGTAAATATGGAAAAGAAGGTCTCTTGCACCCTTCGCTCATTCTATAAGTTAAAGTTAGAACAGAGTTGTCTTATTTGGCTTATGGATGGAGACAATGGAAAACTCAATATATAATGGGAAAATATCTCATCTTAATCATCGTGTACCCACCTTGATGGTAATAGTTCTGCCCGCTAAAGTGTCCGTGTTGTGCAAAGCTGCCCGGAAAGCCGTGCTGAGCCGCGCTTTGTACCAGATCGTAGCCACCCATTTGTGTGTGGTGATGGGCCGCCGCGGCTGCCGCTGCTGCGCTGTGGGTGCTGGGAGCATGGGCGGTGCTGTGGTGGTGGTGCGAGCTGTCGGTCATGCCTGTGGCGGTGCTGGCCGTGGTGCCTGCGGCGGGGCTGTAGCCCGCCATCGAGCCCACGCCCAGTGGCCCAAAGCCGAGTGGTGCAGCTGCGCTGCTGGGTGGTACACCCACTCCGACGCCTGCACCGCTGCCGTTCATGGGCGACAGTCCGGAGCCCGAGCCGCCCGAGTGCTTGCGCAGACGAGCGCGACGATTGGAGAACCAGACCTGGATGCGCGCCTCAGTCAAGCTGGTGGTCTGAGCGAGCTCCTCGCGGGTATACACATCCGGGTACTGGGTGCGTGAGAAGGCGCGCTCGAGAGCCTCCAGCTGCTCGGCGGTGAATGTGGTGCGGGAGCGTCGCTGCTTGCGTTTGAGCGGAATACCCGGCTCCGATTCGGTGTCGCTGATGTCCGAGTCCCGGCCTGCGCACAGAGAGATGAGAGTTTATTAAAAGGCTACTAAAAATTATGAACGCCTCGTAAGAAGTCATAAAATTTTGTACGCTCAGCGCTGCTGAATGGGATATTTGGAAGAAAAGTTACTAAATCATATTCGATGGGGCCACCGACGTGGTGGTGGATCGATCGCTGGATTGTGTGAGATCCCGTCGGCATGAGAATGGGAATTTGAATGGAAAATGGGAATGGGAATGGGAGAAGAAAAGGGCAGATGAGTGGATCTGGCAGTGGGAGTGGGAGTGCCGACGTTCACTGCGCGCCATTGCATATTAATTGAAACGTCAGGGAGCGCAACAAATCTGTCAAAAGCAGCCGCCGACGACCGCAGCACAGAAGTCGCAGCGACGATGAATCGACGAAGCAGTTCGCTGAAGCTGGCGAGCAGGGGGCGTTGCCGCAGGCAGCTCGTAAAAGTCACCACAGTTGACAAGTGACACAATATATCAAATTACACAAGAGGATGACGATCGGCAAGTTGTCAACGGGCAAGGGTGAGCCGCTTCGCGCCACGGAGGAGTGCGCCAATTAACTTCGGCATCTGTTTACGAAAGTAAATGTCGCCGCGCTCTCAAATCGGGCATGAAGCGCGGCGTGTGGCAGCGATCACAGCGATCGGTGGTTGGGAGTCGGTTACAGTTGGAGGGCATGCCAAATTATTTGGAGAGCTCATTACACAATAAACTGACATTAGGCCTGGCTAGGGTTCACTTCAAAGAAGTTCGGAATTATTCAACAAGATCACAAGATCATTTTTCATAACGAGTTGCCAGCTCTTTTCTCTTTCTATTGAGCGCACACAAATGCGCTCACAATAGTTTAGTTGAGGCTGACTTTGTCCTCGCAGCGGAAATACTTTGCTCTGTTTCCGCACCGCCTTCGATTAAATCGATCGTCCTTGATCAACCGCGAGCGAGCTCATGTGTGTGTGTGTGTGGCACAGGAAGCGATCGCGGTGATCGAAGGTACATATTGTGGTTGCGGTCAGCGTTGTAATCTTTTCCGGTCTGTCCAAAGAGAAATTATTAATTGATTTAGTGGATTAGGTCACTTTGATATTGGGGCTTGATAAATGAGACCATTGCCCAAGGATCTAGGACAGGAAATGAGAGGAAGTAGAGCTGTTCTGTGAGTACAGTTATCAATGTACTACAAAAGAGAGCGAGGGATTAAGGGCTAGTTGTTACTCAGATATAGGTTATGTGATATAATAAAAATTGGCTTTAGGTCCAGAGAATAAGATGTGCTTAGGAGAGTATGATAATATTAACATTCACAGTTCAAGCTATTAAATACCTGTCAAGATCTTGACCTTAGTCCCCTTTCTAATATTGAAAAATATCTTAAAATTATAACAATATCTTACAGAAATAATAATAATAAACATTATTTAATATTTGCCTATAAAATATAATGAGTCTTTCTAATAATGGACCCAAGAAGAGGTTTGTGGTCTACTGAATAAGATTTTTTGTATCCAAGGTTTCCACAATTCTACAGATCAAAAACTTTAAAATTGGTTACATTCAATTTCATATATAGAATCTATTCAATATATAGAATTTCTATATCGTTTTCAAAAAGATCTAAATTTGAAATATGATCTAAGTATACAAATATTTAATGATCCAAACTTTTTTATTTTCCTTGTCAGACTCTTGATCTATCTGGTCTTTTTATATCTTTGACTAAAGTGATGTCCACTTCTATTAAATATAGTTTTCAATTTGCATAAGATTTCATAAACATTTGAAATGCCACGTTAGGCCACACCCATGCACCTGTCAGTCTAATCAATGCAAATCTTTAAAATGGGATTTGCCAAAAATGCTTAAAGTTTCAGGCACGCTTATAAAAGTCGTAAAGCTCATAAGGAACACACCTAAAAATAATTATGAAAAAACAAAAACAAAAATACAAAAAGAAAAGAGAACTAAAACAAAGATCTGCGAAAGCCCCAAGAAATCCTCAAGTGTGGAACGCCC